CTTCCTTTTGCAAATGCTTATAATATCCTGCAAACTTTAGGTAATTATTAACAACATTGATCATAAAGAAACTTAAACCTTTGCCAAGGAGCTTTGACTAAACACCATAAGAAAGAAATCAAACCTCGGAAAAGAACACATCATGCAAATGATTCACTTGTAAGGAAGATTGACAGAAAGATTAAAACCCATAAACAATCAAAGCATACAGTGTCAAAGTAAATAAACCAAAAACAAAACTGCCAACATAAACATTAACATCTTCTCTGGCAGCTATCTAGTTGGCATCATACTAGCAATCATTTGTTATTAATGTGATACTGGGCTGTGGTGTTCCTTTGTTAAGAGAGAGTGAGAAACTCTTCCTTTTAAAAAGTGCTTCTCACCACACATTTTGGCTCCAATATACAACTTCCATAATAACACCCTGCTTGCCTGGTCAGTCACGGAGATCGAACACCGCTGTAAAATAATATTGAACTAGGGACATCGATTTCATTCCATCCAAACAAGAAGCATGATTTATCTAGACATACAGCTATATATTAGAAGATCATCATTGAAGTTGTATTGCAAACCTTGTCACCCTGGAAGACTTGCTCAGACGTATCCTTCGATCCGTTAGCATCTACAAACCTCTTATCAGCCATATCATTCAATCTTTTCTGGATATCAGCAGGTTGAAGAGTAAAGGGGTGTTGCTGTTTTGTGTAAATGACATCCTTCCCTCCCATCTAACACCAACAATTATATGGGTGCCATAAGTGCCAATAAACCAGAGATTATACAGCAGAGAGTAGATAACATGACATAAAGTATAGTAGGCATCAGAAAATTCATGGTCACCAACAGAGCAGGCATCAGCATTCTTCATATTTTCATTAAGAATATGCATGTTGAGTTACATTTAAATGAACTCATTCTAAGAACTAAATGATCATTTTTTTATCGAAAATCATCTTGCCAGTGCTGCAGGTTCCCATGTAGATGGAACCGCTTTCTTGACATGATCCCGTAGCTTCACTTGATAATACTCCATTGCAACCGAGTAGAGGATGCTGTGGATGTGGCGTTGCCGTTAAAGACCTACTCAAAAGATCAAATAGGACTCCATACTGAGGTGCGAATCCGAACGATCCGTCCCACTCTGAATGCCTCATGATTATCGCTCCCAAAACAGTAGAGAAATAAAGTCGTAAAAAGAGGATGCTTTTGAATCCATATTTCTCTACCTGTAGGTGAGCTCCGGTTACTATGGAATGATCGTTGTCCGCCTCTACAGGAGACGTACAAACTCGAGAGAAGTTCTTCCACCGGACTTTGTCAAAGTATCTTTTATCATATGACTCTTGATGAGAAAATGTATCGACGGGCTCATCGACAAGTTGAAAGTACGTCGGTAGAAAAGGAAGGTGTTGCATGTAGATAGCCAACCGGTTGCTTCTTTTACCCTTGAGATATAGCCGAAGACCTGTAACTGGTCTCGTACCTACATCAACCTGTCATGGAATTGGTAACAATGGTAAGTATTGATTTTAACATGAACAAAATGAATACCACCTCCAACAAAAGGACTGGACTTTCTTGTAGCACAAGAAACAAGAAAAATGCTCATCTAATAGTGATGTGTAAAAAATGTTCATTTAATGCTCAAGCTAACTGGTAAAATATACTAGTGAGTATACTCGTATACTGCACTCTCTTCTCTATGGTAGATATCATGGTGCGGTTGAGGATTTTACATCTTGGAGCTCACGCACCCCTCTAGTTTACCAAGGATGAGGCCCGGAATCTCTACATCGGACACAACACCCTCGACTAACCCACGTCTTACGAGTGTCGGACCTTGCACCCTTGTTAGTCAGTTTAAAGTGCCTCGTGCGCTACCTAAGGATATCCGGATTGATTCTATACTTCAACATCATCATATTTACTAAGGAACTCGGATGTCCTGGTCGTTTCTCGATCATCAATCAAGGCTAGTTTTATATCACCCTAATTGATCTCGTTTCTAGGTGAATTAAGCATTATTATTGTTCTAACTTATATAGTCTTATATGAAAGTAATTAGAACTTTTGGGAGTCCTCGATTACCTTTTAGAATCTCTTGGTTATTAAAACCCAAAACAATGCACTGGTACTGGCCTTACAGTATCGATACCCTAGTGTTATTTCTTCTTGAAATAAAAGGGTAAATATCGATGCTCACATGAGAAGTATTGATACTTGAGTCTCGATATCGATACTTCCCTAGAATACCGATACTAAAATTGTATTTTGGAAAACGGGTTTCGATACCAAACATCTCAATCTCGATAGCAAACCCCCAGTATCGATACTCTTTCAAGGGGTATCGATATTGCTCTAATAAACTCTATGAATTTTATGCCTGAAATAAGAACAATATTAATATTGTTCCTCTAGTACCGATACTCACCCTTGAAAAAGTACTATTTGGGCGCTCAAACTCACCCACATTGCTATTTTGAGGCTCCTAATTATTATTAGTGTCTTAGGTTGACCTGAGCTACTAACGTGAGATTTGAGGCGTTACATTTGGTCAATTTTTTTAATTTTGACTCGTTATTATTTAAAATTTATAATTGATAAAATTATAAAAATATATTTTAAAAACCTTAAATCAAATAATTTTTAATTGTATATTTTATAAAATTTAATTATTTTAAATAGTTAAAATAATCCTAGTCAAAGTTTAAAATTTTTGACATTTAAAAAATTAATAATAAACACTTTTAGTGGGATGAAAATAATACATCTTAACTAAACTTATACATACAAAAACTCATGTATTAACCATTGCAAATTTAAACCACAATCACACTATCGAACTATGGTCTCATCAGCATGAACTAAGCGACCTCAATATTAAAGGAATTGTTGTTATTTCTTGAGGTCTCGGGTTCAAGCACCAGAAATGTCAGGAGTGTGAGCGTTCAACATCAAATGATTGAGAGTTATCTTCGAACAAATACTACATTTTACATACCTTAGAAATAAATAAATAAACTATGGTCTCATCAGCAAATTTATGTATTACATTAGATATTATTAGGGTAAATTGTATCATTTCTCACTGAATTGTACTCTCTCTCCTATTTTATTCACTGTACTTTTAATTTTTCTAATTTACTCATTGAACTTTCGAATTACTCCTGTTTTGATCACTATAAATTATTTTATTTGTAATTTCTGTATGACATGGAATTTTTTATTATTTAATATAAAATAATTAAAAATACAAAAGTAAAAATAAAAGGTGGTTGTTCAGTCCCAAATTTCATGGGTTGATTCGTATCGACCCATGAGTTCGAATCTAGTGATTGTTTCACCGAAAAATATCCCAAAACCCGTGAATCTCGACTGAAATGTTTTGACTTCCTCACTTTTAATCTCCAATTCTTAGACTTTGGAGCAACTTTCGACAAAATTGAGGTCAAATTCGGACTCAATGTGTCAAGGCGAAGCGACTCGTGAAATTTGGGACCGAACAACTACAATCAACGACAGTGACATCTGACCACCTTTTCAATTATAAAATAATTCAAAATGATCAAAGCAAAAACAATTCGAAAGTTCAGTGAGTAACTTAGAAAAATTAAAAGTACAATGAAAAAAAGAAGAGAAAGAATATAGTTCAGCGATAATTGATGTAATTTATAGGGGTGTTCAAATCCGGGTACCCCTTCAGGTAGTTGATTGGTCGGTCGGTTCCCGACTCTGATATTGTGGATACCCGAATTTTACGAGTACCTGTAATTCGGGTAATCGGATACTTGATTTGTTTATTATTTTCAAATTATTAATTTTTAAAAATAACATATAGCTTATATTATTAAGCAAAGGATTATATTAATTATTAAACATACAACTACTAGGTGGGATAGTTTTTGTTTTAATTTTATTAGTTTAATTTAATATATAAATTATTAATAATTAAATATATAATATTATTTTATATATAAAAATAAATGTTAGGGACCACGTGGCCGCTGATGAAGACATGTTGACAAAAATGACACGACAGATGGGAGGATCTGGCGCATTTACTCGAAGATGCAGCGTTTAGTCAACATATATGTTCACAGCTTTCAAGCCTTTTTTATTTATGCATATTTTATTAACAATAATTCATTGTAGTGCGACACACCATTATAGTTGAATGATTAGAAGTTTAATATATTTCCAGTTAAATGCTTGGTGTATCACGATCATGTGGTGATATATATAATCTCTTAATTAAAAGAAGTTAATTTATTAAATTAAAATTAAAATTAAAATTAAATTAGTAGAATATATAGATATTAAAGATCAAATGTGTAATTGTACTTATTATATTAGCTGTCACATCAATATTTTCATTAAATGTTAACGATAAATTATTTAATTGACATATTTAAATAATTAAATGATATGATTGACAAAATTTAAAATTTAATAATTAAAATAAAAAGAAAAAAAATAATCAAGTGGTCATACAAATAGTTTAATCTAAATATATTTAAGAGTGAATTGCATCATACGTATAATTTGGGATAAAATTAGAGTGTTCAAAAAGTTTAGAGACTAATTTAAAATAAATGTCATAATTTGGGGATAAAATTGAAATGTTTAAAAGTTAAAGGATTAATTTAATGATAATCATAATTTAGGGATGAAATTAAAACATTTAAAAGTTTAGAAACTAATTTAAAATGAGGAATATATTTTGAGGACATGTGATGCAATTCACTCTATATTTAAAATCAAAGTTTAAACTAGACTTGTAAAAGTTCACCGGCCGGAGTCGATGATATATACGGCAACTGTGAAAAGTGCAGAGCCTTTACTTCCCGAATCTACCTTCAGTAAAATATAATATGAATCTTTCTCTCTCACACACACACACGTCTATAACTTGCGTCTGCCATTTTCTAACCTTGTTTCCATTTCATTATTTGATATATATATATCATCTCCTAGCTCAAACCAATCTAGCAAAGTACCCTACAATGAATGGAAATCCATACTCAAAGATCATAGGCGAAGTCGGAGGCAATGAAAGCTCCATATCCATGGAGTCTTCTTCTTCTTCCCCAGATCTTATGCCTGGAACCCCCAAACCCACTTCTAACCCTACCCCAAACCCCATGAAGAACTCGGACCCCAACACCCAATGCTCATCGGAGCAAGAAGATGATCCAGCCGAAGGCAACAACAACAACAAAGTGGGGGAGAAGATGTTTGTCGTTGATCCCACACTGAGAAGAAACATCTCAGTTTCTTCGGCTTTTGCACTCCAGCACCAGGCCGCCGTGAAGAGAGCTTTCTCGATGCGAAGATCTTGCTCGGTAAATGAAAGTTATTGCAGGATCCATGACCAGCATGTGACTTTAACACCTCCCTTGGATGAAGATGAAGTATTGGACGTAACTGGGACTAAAACATCCGTGAAGAAGAAGAAGAACACGAGAGACAAGATCCTTAAAGCATGGAAGAAGATTTTTAGGCTGTAGTATGTCTTTTAATTACCGTAAACAACATTTTATATAGCTTGCCTTTGAATCTGATTTGCACTTCTCTTTATTCCTTTCTTTTATCAAAACAACTCCTTTTTTTTTGGTTTAATACAGGTGAAGCCCGTTTTATCGGCTCTAATTATCTCCACAGCTTCCTTAGGGTAAATGTGCAGAAAAACAAAATCTTCTCATTGGTTCCTCATTTGCTTGGTGATGATGTATGCGACTCGGTTAGCCTCCCTCGGTATGTTCTGAATCTTTACTTCCCAATTCCTTTTGAGCAGATTGTCTATATGTTGAAGTATTGTTAGTTGTCTGTGTTTGGTCGATCTATTGTTTATAAGTTTTACTGCTTCCTTGTTATCCGATTCCAGTATAACTTTTCTTTCTCCTTTTATCCATGCCAATTTTAAACCTTCATGAATTCCCCAGAGTTCTTCTTCCAATAAGGTACAAATACCTATTTTCCTGCCAAATCCCCAGAGCCAATTACCTTCGTAGTCTCTAGCTACTATTCCACATGCTGCATCTCCATCATTCTGGTTTCTTGTTCCTTGTTCCATCAGTGTTTATTTTACAGTAGCTAATCTCTGGTTTTTGCCATCCATATTGAACATTCTTCCTAGTTTGATTAATTCCAATCTTTAGGGTTTCTGAATTTTCAACCTCATGAGTAAGTCTCAATGCTTGTTGGATGATTGAATCTCTCTCAACCATTTCAGAGTCGAAAACTACATGATTTCTTCTTTTTCAGATTAACTAAATAACCGGCCAATTCTCTGTTCTAGTATTTGGGGATTGAGTTGTCTCAAGATTTTCGATAACCCATTCCTCCATACTCTTGCTTAGGAATCTATCCATTTTTCTATGATCGATCAATTCTGCCCATATAGTTAAGGCTTTAGGACAAAGTCTCAAAGTGTGGTTGATGTCTTCGGTTTCGTATCCACACATAGGGAAGCTCTCATCCAATGTCACGTGTCTTCGTTTTCTTTCTGAATTGGTCAGGATCTTATTTCCTCCAATCAGCCATAAAAATGTTTTAATCCTGGGTATATCAAAAAACTCCTTTGATTATTGCATTTTCCTCAATTTTTTTGTATTTTAAATAGTGTGTCCTCTATTTCACATGACGAGTACTTATATATAATAAAGTAAAAATTATTATTTATTTATATATTTTAGACCTCCTTTTTCCACTAGTTAAATTAAATTTCAATTAGATTGGAGTTAAATTAAATTTAACATACTTTTTTTCAATATCCAGATTGCGAGGAGATTAAACTAAGTCTAAGGGGGTGTTTGGTTCAGGTAATCTAGGATTATCGGGGGAATGGAATGTCATTCCCCCATTTGGTTGGCAAACATTCCCAACTTCCGGTAATCCTTTATTTCTAACAGTAGTATTTTGTGAGTATATTACCGGGAATGTGATTACTCCCTTTCCTTAGGTATTGTTGGATTACAGATGTTTTGAACTAAAATGCCCTTAATTTTTTTCCCTCAAAAATATATTTATTTTGTCATTGAATAAAAAAAATCTATGAAGGTTAAATTATAAATTTATCCTTAAACTATTTTAGATTTACAAAAAAAATCTATAATTAAAATTTTATAAGAAGTTCAGGGGTTAAAATAAAATTTTACCCTTTCATTAAACCTATTTATCTTTTCAATTTTGTAAAAAAAAATTATATACATTTTATGAATTTAATTTTTTTAAAGAAAATATATAAATTAATTATAGTAATATTATAGTAGAATTCAACTTGTTAAAAAACAAATATATAATAATGACAATTTGATAAAATATACATTCCAATAATATTTTATTCCTTTAACCAAACACTGTAATCTTACATTTATGCTAAACGAATCAAACACAAAATAAAACATTCTCAATAATCATATTCCCACCGGTAATCTTACATTCCGTGAACCAAACACACCCTTAAAGTAAAAAAAAATAACAAATTAGTTCTCATGTGACTATTCAGACATATATTGATATCAATTTCATTGTCATTTATCCTAATAATATACATATTATTGATATTTTATTTCAAAGAAAATACAATTAGATAAAAGTGAAAATTTTCATAGCATACAAGTATTTATCTATAATTTATTGGAAAATATATATTTAGATCTCATTATACTGTGGTGTAAGTGATTGAAAGATGATTTTATCGTTTTTATTTTATTAAAAGAAACATAGAATGCAAACGAGAATCAAATGGACAAGACAAGGCCATTGAATAACATGTGAAATCTATTTAGACACATAAGAAGGAATTCAGTTTTATTATAAAGTCCAAAATTTCGCAGCATTTTCGTGTAAATCTTGAGCACAGGATGCTCTTGTTTTATTTGGACTCAAGTTTCAAAGAAAACGAAATGCTCGTCCAGCTTAGTTGGTAGAGCACAAGGCTCTTAACCTTGTGATCGTGGGATCGAGTCCCACGGAGGTCATTTCATAATTCGGAGGTCTCCCACGGAAATTGCTCTCAACCTGGCGTTGGGGGCAGCCTATTATCATACCTCCTCTTACCCCATTACATATGGGAAAAAGGGTCAGCTAATTTTTCAAAGAAAACAAAATATTTACTACGCAAACAATACCTTGCATATTGTTGTACCACTCGTTGGTATTACCTTGAAATAACGAATCTAGAAATTTAAAAATGAGGTCGAAAATTTCAATACTATTTTCTTCAAATGAATGGGTATGTAATTTTTTTTAATTTTCTTTAATATATTATATTAAATTTAATCATCTTTCTAAGATAATGGTGGCTCAAAGCCTCAATAGTGACGAATGTATATAGTTATGTAAGGAGTGATTGTGTACCTATTATTTTGAGAAAAATATTAAATTTAATTTAATAAATTAAAGAAAAAAGAATTTTTTGAATAATTCATTTTATTACCCAAAGAAGCAGAGACTGTTACAAAACCAATCACCGATCACAAAAACCTTATGTACAACCTACTTACAAAACAGAAGATCGATTTAAACTATACCCTAATTACAAAGATTAGTATTAACACTATCTAGTCTATTGATGTTCTTTCCTCTTAGTTTGATACCTACAAACTCCTTAATAATATTAAAGATATCTTCAGCATATTTGGAGCATCCTTGGAAAATTCTTCAATTTTGTTCCTCCCACAAAACATAGATACGAGCGCACCAAGCAAGCTTTAAAATAGTACTAAGAAGAGAATTGCCTTTCTAAGTGTCACATACCCAAACTAACATATCCTCCCAAGACAAGGTGGATTTCTTTAACCCGTTTAGGAGCAATATGGCCTCCCATAAATAAGAAGCCAAGGAGCATTCAAAGAACAAATGGTTCTGAGTTTCCATCGCTTCATTACAAAGATCATAATTCCCAATAGCAACAATCCCCATTCGTTGAAGCTGATCACGAGTAGGGAGTCTGTCTAAAAGAGCCATCCATGCAATCATACTATGTTTAGGAATGTGAAGAAGAAACCATATCAAGAAATGCCAAGAGACTTTGTCCCCCTTCATCCTAATCTCTTTCCATATGTTCCTTATATTAAGAGCTCTATTCAAAAGGGCTGGTAATGCTTATGTTCTTAATTTAAGGATTCGGTTGAAGCTCCAGCTGAGGTTAGCACCTCGAGCCACAAGTCATTCTCCTTTAAAACATACTCAATTTTGCATACTCAATTTCTTTAAAAATTAAAATATTAAATTTTTGGATTCTTATTTTTTAATTTCTAAATCTTCCACCGAACCTCGAACCCTCAGTTTATTTCTTTAGATCTATTGTGTTACGTGAAGTTGTTGTTCTCGGTGGCTTATGGCCGTTGATCTCTCGAAGCCATTTGAGAGATTGAAGACACCAGTTCCTTGGTGGTTGTGGTGATGGTGGTAATTTTGGGACATTGAATTTTGTAAAAGTTTTTGCTCTTCTTGAATTGGAATTTAATTGTGTTCTTTAAAAATTATTGAGTGATTTTAATAATAAAGAAGAATGTTATTTTTAAGATGTAAGTTTATAGAGTGTGTATGTATATTGTCAACAAGTTAAGAAAATTTTATGTAAATAATATCGTGTAATCCTCCTATAATGTTCGAAAGAAATTATAATCCTTAGAAATGGGTAAAAGAGAGTGTTGGTTCCTGAGGAAACTCGATCCGTATAAAGGAACAAGTTCGTGAACATTAAATGAACATGTTCAACAACACTAAATGAGCCAACTACGAAAATCTTCAAAAACAAACAAATGAACGTGATCATCTTAAAAGATGAATAAACAACATGAACACATTCTTATTCGTTCAAGTCCGATTCGTTTATACTCCTAGATAATGTCAAAAGAGCTAGAACGATAATATATTGAAAGTTGAAGGATTAAAGTAATCGAACAAATAGTAAAAGAACTAAAGTGAAAATTTTCACTAAATTAGAGGGGCCATTTTAGATATTAAGCCTTTAATTTACTATTTTGGTTTCCCGCCAACCTATTTTCCAATCACATTATAACGGGTAAATTATATTCTTACTCACTAAACTTTACTCTCTCTATTTCACTCACCGTACTTTTAATGTTTTCAATTTGCTCACTAAACTTTAGATATTGAACTTTTTTTTATCACTCGACCGTTAAATTTCTAATGGCGTTATGACATTCCTAAATTAAAATTGAAAAAATTAAAAGTATAGTGAGTGAAATAGGAGAGATGGTAAATTTTAGTGAGTAAACATGTGGCATGTTTTATTATTAAAATAAACCACGTAAACACCTCGTTATTAAGTAAACGGTTGAGTGACCGAAAAAGTTCAATGTCTGAAGTTCACTGAACAAGTTGAAAAAATTGAAAATATAGTAAGTGAAATATGAGAGAGTACAGTTCAGTGAGTAAGCGTGTAATTTACCCATTATAATTTCATTGAGTAAAAAAAGAACAGAATTCTGTTATTCATCATTTTCTCTAAAAGGAAAATATATCGTTTTTTCTCTGCTACAATTCAGACTCAGTTCTCCCCATCCAAACAGTAATTTCATTCAGTTCTATAACTTCTTTATTTAGATTTGCTAAATTTAATTTAATATCTTTTTAATTTTGGAAATGCTTGCTTAAACTGACTTCTTTTTTCTGGAAATGTAAAGGAAGATTCTCTGTGATATTATCCGCTCAAAATATATACACTTATTAATTTGATTGCAATAGCATATATTAACTTGATGCAACTTATTTCAACAGATTTTGAAGGAGGCAATTGCTATAATTAAGTAAACCGGTAGATCGAAGCGGCCTGAACTGGAATCGGTGAGTTTTAATTCGATTCAATCAACTTTCTGGTGTTAGCGGAGAGGTTTTCATAACAGAATTGGAAACGTTAATTTTCAGTTAATTAAAAATATTTGTTTAAATTAATATTATTCTCTGTATTGAAATTACGGAACATCTCTGATTTCTCATCTCAATTTAAATCGTCTAATTGTTCCAACCGCGGATTCATTTTGAAATATGAATTTTCTATCGTTTCCGAAGCTTTGTGAATTTTCGGTTGTAGTTTATTCTATTGATTAATATGCCTTTATTTCTTTATATTGAATCATATTGTAATCAGTTTCAATAAAATTGTTTTTCTTTAAAAATCCCAGATTAAGGAGGAAAACGCTGAAAGAAATAGATTTGGGGATCGGATACAACATTGAGAAGCAACGGATCCACGAGTTGAATCACTTGGAGAGGCGACTCAAATGACGGTGAGCGAAACCGTTGGTACCGATTAAGGGTTGGTTTCAATACCGATAAATCCTTCGTCTCCGATGAATCCTTCATCGCCAAAGAATAGGGTAAAGTTTCTTTGCAGCTATGGCGGGAAAATATTGCCCCGATCAAGCGACGGTAAACTCAAGTACGTTGGTGGAGAGACTCGAGTGGTGGCGGTCCCGGGGGATATCAAATTTTCAGGTTTACCCTCGTTTCAACCTAGTTAAGTTTTATGCCAATTCGACTTATTCCAATGGTAATTTGGTCATTGCCATTTATATTTTTTACCAATATTTGCTTCACTCTCATTTTCTTTTTGAAATAACTATTAGTACTTCGGCTTTTTGATACTATAACTATTAGTACTTGACTTTTTCATACTTTAGATTGATTTAGAATTCAAAAATTGCTGTCTAATCATTTTTCCAGTGTTTAAGCTATCATATTTTGGATTGATCACTTGTTTTTCTAAACTGTAGTCAACAAAACCATAGTTAGTGTTAAGAGATGCTTTATGTTGGCATTTTGGCCAAAGTTCAATTCTTAGTAATCGTTTGAAGGAAAAAGAAACATAGCAACATGTGAAAATCTTAAAAGCTAAAGAAATCATCAATCTGTTTTTGGAAAATCCATTTTTAAAGTGACAGTTTCTCTGTACGTGACAGAATTGAAGAATAAGGTGAACGGTATGGTTGAAGACGTCGTGATTCTAAAATTCCCGATTAACCCTGAAGAACTTGATGCCTTGGTAACTGTAAAATCATACGAGGATGTCAAACATATGGTCGACGAGTATCGTCGTCTCGAAAGTGAAGGAACTCCGAAACTACGTGTTTACATGTTCCCTTCGAACCCGATCGTAGTCGAGAACCAGATGAATCCTGTTGATCCCTATGCCATTGAGCAGCGTTACATAGAAGCCATCAATGGCATACATCGTCCGAGTTCAAATAACACTAGTGGAAGACAAACCCGTCAACCCAAACCGCTCCAATTTCAGCACCTCTGCTTGCACTTCCCGTAGAGCAGCTTCTCTGGATGCTATGGCTAGCTCTTACCCCATGGAGCCATCAGTTTTAAGTTCAAACCAACATAATAAACCCCCCATGACTAAAGTCCGCAGTTCTCCTAGCCTTTACAACCTCCACCTGCAAAGTAATAATCACCAAGTTTACCAGCCACATCATCATTATCATCAAAACCACCACCAACCACAACCCTATGGCATCCAATCTCCAAGAACATCCCCAGATCATTGGGCTGAAAAGCCCCCAGGGCCACATGACTTCATGAGGAACGCTATGGGGCACGGTCATGTTCCGGTAAACCGAGTCTATCCAGTAGGCAGACATAACATGGGGAATGGATACCAAGGATGTTCTTGCTGCTGCGATGATTGCGTGGCTTATGCAAGTGGAGGGCCTTGTAGGAGAGGTAGCCCTTCTACAAGTGGAAGGCTCGATAAACCGGATAGTCCGGGTCACAAGAACCATATGCCGGAATAAAGCAGCGGAATCAATCAAGTAGCATATTGATCATCGGACTGAAGAACTGAAAGATAGGTACATAATCTTTTTACTTCATAGGTTGTTTGCTACCCAAAGAAGGGTAAGACGGTAAAGAAGGATCTTTTATTTCCTTCCTCTATACATATCTGTTGTGTGAGTTTTCTTTTTCCATTTATCCTTGGTTTCGAAAACTTGGTTCATATAAATTGCCAAGTTGAAGACAAGATCTATAGATTTGTGGAAAAAAATATGTACATTATATGATACATATATCCAAAGAACCGACAGTTGAAAGAATGAATTCTTTTGACTGAGATGACTTGATTAGATATAATAAAAATATTATTGGATAATTATGCATTTAGTACTTAAACTATCAGTTTTGATCCGTTTTAGTATCTAGTCTTTCAATTTTTTTAAAATCATATATAAAGTTTAGTTTTTATTTCATGTCAGTACCTGTTCAAAATTCAACATTAAGTTTTGAATAAAATTTGAAATTTCATGTACTAAAAAGGATCAAAACTGATACTTTAGGTATAAAAAATGTTAAGTTTTTACCCGTGGAGTACTAAAATGAAACAAAAACTAAATCTTAAGTATGATTTTGAAGATTTTGAAAGTTTAAATACTAAAATGGATCAAAACTGATAATTTATATCACTAAATATGCAATTTACCCAAAATTCTTCAGGTGTAATAAAAGTTCAGAAATTTAATTGACTAGAGAAAAAAATTAAAGACTTAATGCAACCTTAAACCCTTAACTTCAATATTACCCGTCTTTAATATTACTTTCATTTCTCATTTGATGTAAGCAAGGATGAAGTTTGAATTTAGTACAAGAGAAATTGAGATAAAGTTATAATTTTAAAGAGATTAAAGCTAAAAAAAATATTGTTTTGAAAGTGTTTAAATTAAATAATTAAATGTTCAGTATTAAGGAAGTACTAAGAGCACAGAATTTTGAAAACATTTTTCCAAAAGCAATACCAAACTAACGAGGGCCATGAATAAATTCTGATTTACCAGCATGCACCGGAACAAGTGTAAACTTTCGGATCTCCAAACCGAACATTATACTCAATTAGTTTAGGTAAGCCGGACCTCTTCTCGATCATCAGTCCGGCGTATAAAACCCCGACGAATTTGCATCCCTCCATTGACATGCCCTTCACCGTAGGGAGAATAATAGATTACATGACCACAGATTGAAGTTCTTTGGTTAAGACTGGTGCAGGGGAGTATGTATGCCCCCATCCCACCAGTTTTCGGACCGGTGTCACCGTCTCCAACCCGTTTATGGTCTTGTGCAGACTCGAGCGGTATGACATTTTCGCCATCCACAGGGGCAATTAACGATGCTTCTTAAACCCTAAACTATAACCCTATGACCTCTAAATATTAACTTGTTTATAATTTAAGGTTTTAAGTTAGAAAAAAAGTATATGCAATTAAATAATTTTAAGGGTTAAATTGATGTAAAAATTCGATAAGGACGAAAATGATAAACTTAATCTACTACAAGGATGAAGGTGACCCCTTAAGCCTATATTTTTTAAAATTACATATATATAATTTGTAAGCATAAAAGATTAAATTTATTATTGAAGGAATTAAAATTATATAAAATTAATGCCAAACATTAAATCTATGATTAATTATCCGTAATTACTCATTTTCAAAACTAATCGGACTAAGAGATATTTTTACCTAAAATAACCCCCTGATTTCCAACAAATTCTACTAAATCATTTTTTTTGTCTTTTATAGAGAGATTAAATTACATTTTTCTTATTTTTATAAAGCATGAATATCTATAAAGCATGAATATATTTATAAAACCTTTATTTTTTTTAATTTTCACTTATCTAATGTTATTAAAAAGGTATAAAACTTTTTAATTTTATACTATATGATTAGATCTTAACCTATATATATATTGCACAAAATATTCGTTTAGGTATTATCAAATTAAACCAAAAAAATATATAAATTTTAATTCTAGATTTATAGAATGCCATTTTATAGAGACAGTGAGATGAACGTAGCAAAACAAATATGTATAGAAGGTTCTAGAAATTAAAAAGTCTTCAGAAATTAACAAGAACAAAAAATAAAAAACCAGGTTCTTCAGCAATCAAAGCCACGGATGAACGAAGATGATACGGGTATGGGGCATTTTTCTTCTTTTTACATCATGATTACATATATGATGATACAAGAGAAAATGGCGTGGCACGGATACTGGCTCGTATAAACTCGGAAAGGCTACTAAGTATGCAGCGCCATGAATAAATTCTGCTTACGAGCATGCTCCGGAATAAGTTTCTTCACAACGTCAGGGGGGACGCCGGCGAGCTCTGCCAATTTCAGTGGGAACAAAGAGTAGAGGAATTCAACCATGTATGTTAAATAGAGTTTTGCTTTTGTGCTATTCGTATTGTATTCAAGATATTGCATTCATACATGTAGCGAGAAATCTGATTTCTCAGTGCGGCTGTGTATCTTGATAGCATAATTTGCTTTTCAAGTATTTTTAAGTGTAAAACTCACCTTGCGGCTTAAAATTGAAGAGTGGTGGGAGAGGACGGCCATTGGGAAGTCGAGTGTTCGGGTCCCTCAGTTCATCAAAGAATGGGTGAGAGCAAGCCTCCAACTGCTCAGAAGATAAATAAAAAAGCCGGTTACCGAATGATAATTTTTGAATTTACCACTCAATGCAGCATAAACAAGAATATCATAACTTACAGCCGTGCATCGCAAATTGGGAGAGTACTGGAAAAACCTACAGACAAGGTCCACTGCTTCCGGAGGCAAACGCTTTTGGAAGACCTGTTGCGAGAAAATGCATTATGGAGTTTGATAGGAAAGCTTATGATAAGGAGAGCACAGATTATGAAAAAGAGAAAAGAGCACACATACCTTGTGCCATGGATGGGGCTTTATCTGGGGAAACTTGAATTCAGTGTAGTTTGGATTCATGCACTTGATCTCCTCCCTGGTTGGAGTCCCCAAAACCTAAACAAACCATTCAAAATCATAGACACCTTATCGATCAAATCCTTCGGGAAACTTCGATGTACATGTTTCCATACATTTTGTCAAAAACATTGGACAGAAGGTCGGCATGGGGTGCCAAAGAAATTGTTCTGACACAGACTGCATTCTGCAGCAAATGAAATACTCGAATCCTAAAACTTTTGGCTTGAATTTTCTTCTATTTATGAAAAGGAATAATTGAAAAAAAATATTAAATTAAGCAACACTGTATAAAACTCATTTGGATATCAGAAAATGTAAAGTTATCTAGAATGTTTATCAAAGCACCCCGAGTACATTTAATTTAGTTCTCAACATAACCGAGTTTTAAGAAAAAGTCTAATAATTATCAAAAACCTATGGTTTACTGTTGAGATATAATAAACTTCAATTGATTTTCCAAATGTCAACAAATGTGAAAAGTAACTAATAGATTAATCATGCATTAAGAGCAAGTACTCAAAAAATTATACAAGGAATCACCTTAATGATTTCAACAAGTTGGTCGACCCCACTTTCACCAGGAAACAGTGGCTGCATTGTAAGGTAGCAATCAGAAACACGATTAATGAAGAGAACATTATTAAACAAATTAGTCTAAAATTACCTGTCCAAGAAGCAACTCAGCCATCACACAACCACTAGACCATATATCTATAGCTGTTGTATATTCAGTAGCACCAAATATGAGTTCTGGAGCACGATAATATCTCGAGCAGATGTAGGAAACATTGGGTTCTCCCTTCACCTGAAACAGATAATGCATGCAAACTCAGGCGAGGAAACAAGATCCGACAACAACAAAACAATTACCATTTCATGAAAACTTACAAGCACTTTTGCACTCCCAAAATCACAAATTTTCAACTGATGCGTATGTGGATTCACCTGGATAGAAACCATAGAAGTTGAGTTTTCTCCAAACCAAGGACTCCACACATAAAATCTTAAACCAGATAGCATCTTTCTCACATGGAGAAAACAAAAAATAATTAACATGTAAAAGTAGTCAATAAATCTCAGGTTATACCCAATATAGTCAAGAGACTTGATCAGCTACAACAACAAACAATACAGTTACATGCAGGTGTACGCTACTACATGACAAAAATGTACTTTGTAACAAACGTTTGATTCTTTAGAAAAGGTGTCTTACAAGTAAATTCTGAGGTTTGATGTCACGGTGACATATACCAATGCAGTTGTGTATATAGGCAAGTGCTCTGCATATCTGCAATCCAGAAGAAAACAATTAGCTACAAATGTATCCAATATACTAACTTTTGAGAGTTCAAACTGAAGAAACGGAAAAGAAAAGTAAGTTTATCTCTAGAAAATCTGAAATATTTGACCTATCTAGTAATAGCTCAAACCAGAAATTGAACAATGACTTCTCATTCCATTACCATATAATATAGCAGCAAGACCAAATAAATCACGACAACATATCGTATGTGAAACAATTCTGGACCACTCAATTACTCAGTAAAAGGCTATTGCGAGAGAAACATAATCCAACACCATCTTTCCATATATCAATTTAACTATAAAAATATGCTTAATAGGACAGAGAAGCACCTGATAAGTATAGAGTTTAACGTATATTAAAGGCATTCGTGTGTTCATCCTGCTGTAGCTTCTGGCTGTTCGATGAACAGTTTCAGGTACATACTCAAGAACAAGATTGAGGTAGAGCTCTTCCTTGTCTGTTTTTGAGAAAAAATAATGCTTAAGAGCAACAACATTTGGATGATCCAGCATTTGCATAATCTGCAACTCCCTATTTTTGTAGCGCTTATCTTGAAGAACCTTCTTGATGGCAACAATTTCTCCAGTTTCACGACATTTTGCCTTCAGGAAACGGTCATGTCATTCAAGATTATAATCAACTTAGCATAGTCAATAAAATATTTATGATCAAGAACATTATAGAACTTCTTACTTGGAAAACAACACCGAAAGAACCGGTTCCAACTGCATGTTCAGCAATATAACTAACATTCTGTCAATCCAACCAAAAATTGATGTAGATTGAGAATAATCCAAACAAAAATAGAATCTTGGAAGCAAAATTTTGCACGCTAATTTAATTTCTTT